ATGCCACATTCCACTGTACATTCTTACATGTTAAAGTGAAATAGAGAGTCTTTACTTTGCATATTTCAATATCACTAATATTGTGAGTATAGCGTACTGAAATATTTCACTCGAAGTATTTCTACTCACAATATTAGTGATATTGAAATATGCAAAGTAAAGACTCTCTATTTCACTTTAACATGTAAGAATGTACAGTGGAATGTGGCATCCGATGGAAAAAATCCGTCCGCGTGAAACTATAATATTCTTAAAATCCAAGTATCCCAACAAGTATGTGAGAGTGCCTCTTCAAAATGTAAAATGGATCTGGCTGTAAAATGGAAACAAGGCCTATGAGGAAAAATGCTTTATGTCATTGTAATCAGCGCATCGAGCTCTACAAACTGGTATATATAGCATTCGAAAATCAACGTGTCACTTGGGGACCTTCCCTCGTAAGTCGGAAACCGGATTCTTAATAATGTGCTGTGTGGAAGATTTTTCTAGATTTTCCACATGATCATGCTCGATCACGTGCGTATCGGTGGGGGGAAGATGGACTGCTGGGTATTGCTGATCGTGAATGTCGTCTATGTTTTTCATTTGCGTTATGGAATGGAAAAGATGGAATATTGAAAGAACGGCTATTTGGACTGTCTGGACCAGGTAAGTTAATGAATGTTTTCTTAATTTTTAGCGGCCTTTAAACAGGGAAGTGTCCTTTTTAGAAGGAAATCATGGCGAAGATGTTAAAGAAGAATATTTTTATTTGGATTCGACGCCCACCCATTCGTATATGAAAGGTCTCTACAAATATCCACAAAGTGCTTATCCCTATTCACGACTTGTCGACGAAAACGGACGTCGAAGCAAGTATGAGGCAGAATATGAACTTGTTGATACCGGTGTGTTTAATGAAAATCGTTATTTCGATGTATTTGCCGAATATGCAAAAAATGATCCTGAAGATATTTTAATTCGTTTGACCATCATAAATCGAGGACCAGATACATCAACTGTTCACGTTCTACCAACATTGTTCTTTCGTAATACCTATAGTTGGGAATGCACTCATGAAGGTTGCCATATGAAACCGAAAATTATTTTGGAGGATGATATGTTACGCACAAAACATGACACACTCGAACCATTTTTGTTTGATGTTGGTAAGGATTCTGATGGTAACACACCCCCTATTCTTTTTACTGATAATGAGACAAACACAAAACGATTGTATGGTATTGATAACTTAAATCCATACGTCAAAGATGCTTTTCATTCCTACATTATTGATAAAAACGTAAACGCTGTTAACCCGAAACAACGTGGAACAAAAGTCGCTGCACACTATATTCTTTCGTTAGAACCAGGTGAATCAAAAGCAATCCATTTACGCTTATGTATAGCACCGAAAGATGGTAAATTAGTTAAATTAGACCAGAAAACATTTGACAATATATTTAAACAACGTATTGAGGAAGCGGATCTGTTTTACGGTTCGGTTATTCACAGTAAATTAACAAATGATGAAGCAAATGTTGTTAGACAAGCCTATGCTGGACTATTGTGGTCAAAGCAATTTTATCATTATGTCGTCGAATATTGGAAGAAAGGTGATACAGGTGAAGCACCACCTCAAAGACGCCTAGAGGGACGCAACGCTCAATGGGATCATTTATTTAGTCGTGATGTTATTTCGATGCCAGACAAATTTGAATATCCGTGGTTCGCATCGTGGGACTTGGCATTCCATATGATCCCGTTTTCCACAATTGATGAAAATTTTGCCAAAAGTCAATTGCGTCTGTTTGTTCGTGAATGGTATCTTCATCCGAATGGACAGATGCCTGCCTATGAATTTAACTTCAGTGATGTGAATCCACCCGTTTTTGCATGGGCAGCATGGCGCGTGTATAAAATAGCTAATCATAAAGAGAAAAGAGATCGTAGTTTCTTGGAAAGTGTATTTTTAAAATTACTGCTGAACTTTACATGGTGGGTCAATAAAAAAGATGTTGATGGAAAAAATTTATTCGGTGGTGGATTCTTGGGTTTAGATAATATTGGCGTATTCGATCGTTCAGAACAGCTACCTCAAGGTGGTTCAATACAACAATCTGATGGTACCGCATGGATGGGCTTCTATGCTCTTACGCTACTGGCAATATCGTTAGATCTTGCCAAAGATGGTGAAAAAGTTTTAGAACCATTTGAGGATATGGCGTCAAAATTTTTCGAACATTTCGTGCAGATTGTCGACGCCATGAATTGTATGGGTGGAACAGGTCTGTGGGATGCAGAAGACGGGTTCTATTATGATCAGGTGAAGTTGTCTGAAACGGGTAAAGAAATTCGTTTGAAATCTCGTTCACTTGTGGGCATTATCCCCCTAATTGCCGTATCCGTACTGGAAGGCGATAAAGTCGATTTATTACCAGGATTCAGGAAAAGATTCGAATGGTTTTTGAAATACAAACCAGATTTAAAAGCGCACATTGGCTCTCGCAAATCAACAAAATCTGAAGGTCATTGTAGTTATTTACTGTCAATTCCATCTCGTGAGCAGCTTCAACAAATGTTAAAAGTGATATTAGATGAAGACGAATTTTTATCACCTTATGGTCTTCGCTCACTGTCGAAATTTCATGAAAAACATCCCTATATTTTTGAAGCACACGGTGATAAACGATCCATCAAGTATGAACCGGGCGAATCAGAAAGTGGAATGTTCGGCGGAAATTCAAATTGGCGTGTAGGTTACTCATCTATCATGTAATGATCACTTTTGAACGAAAATACTGCTATTATCCTCTTTTACTCATTCAAACTACCGGCGCACAGTGCCCTTATAGATAACTCACGATATGTGTTGTATGTTTTAGGGACCAATATGGACGCCGATCAATTATCTTGTTATTGAAGCTCTCGAACGTTATCATCTTTATTATGGTGATGATTTTCAAGTAGAATGTCCAACACGAAGTGGAAATATAAAAAATTTAAAAGAAGTTGCTAGTGAATTATCTTTTCGACTTTCAAAATTATTACTACGTGATGAAAACGGACATCGACCATGTTTTGGTGATGATAAACGTTATCAATCGGATCCACACTGGCGAAATCTACTACTATTTCACGAATATTTTCATGGTGATTCTGGTAAAGGTTTAGGTGCATCTCATCAAACGGGATGGACAGCTCTCATATTACGTCATATTCAAGACTTGGGAAAAGAGCGCGAGGAAAAGCACGATTCGAAATAAAAACTAAAAACTTATTAAAAAAAGATTGTAGTTAATTACACTCACACAACGGTAATACTAATTATTATTCTTACTGCAAACACTTTTATTTTTATTTTACTACTTTTCTATCAACCAGAGGTGTGTGGGACAGAAAGGTTTAGTCACATACAAGACGGAAAAAAATAATTGATTATTTTCACATAAAATTTTTCCAAAACGAGCTAGGTGAGTTTTAAGTCTCATCATACTTTAACGAAATGAGACGTCCCGCTTGCCTCTGTCGTTGGTATCTTGTATCTTTTTCTATCAACTCTTTTTAAACATGTGATTAGATTTATATGAGGAAATACATTCACAAGTATTTTTGTAGATGTTGTTTAAAGAATAGAAGTTTTAGAAAGATTTTTCGTTTTTTTTATTTATACATTTTTTTCTGTGATATTTTAGTGTTCAGAGTAGAGAACAACGCATATTCGTTTTACAGTGCAACTGTTGACAAGGCATTTATACAAATAACCTAATACATACTAATTTGAAAAAATATATTGTCATTTACTACTTACACACAGGAAAAAGTTGATTCTATAACAAAAAGTAAAACTACAAACATTAGTGATCTTGCCAAAAGAAATAGCTGCTCTTTTTTCCAATACGATGGATGCCTCTTTTGTTTTAGAATTGTAGTGCAAGATATCTAGTTATGAATAAACTTTAGTTATAATAATTGGAGTACGATAATAGAAAGGAAGAATTTGTGTACATGTACGTGTTTTATTATTTGAGAAGTCCGTTTAGTTTGCCTGCATCTGATAAAGATCAGTCGACTATTTATATTCAAAATTGCTTCACCAAATTACCCATAATGGAAATATTTTAAAACGAAAACAAAAACCATTGGACTCGCGTACAAAATAGGCGCTTTTTCTCTGTTTAAAAGACACCTAAGAAGAATTGTCGCAGAGTTCCACTATGCCTATAATCTCATCTCGTGAAAAAGGAATTTTTGTCTACACTGGTTGGTAAAAACCTTCCTACCTATTATTCGATTGTCAATGATTTTCAATTTATTTTTTTTAAAATAACACTACGGTCAGCAAACATTTCATGATAAGCGGAGACCTTCTGTTTGGGATGGGAAATTCTGTTTTTTAAACCTTTTTCCCTTCGCTTCTGCTTTTCAAGTTTTTATTGTGATTTGAATTGAACTGAAAGAAGACTCATAGTTAGACATGTGCACCAAGAAAAATTTTCGGCAGCGACGAATGAATTTTTGCACATCGGCAGCGGCGGCGCGTAAAAATCGGTTATCGCCGGTGAATCTCCAAATTTGACTAAAACCCGGCCGTGGACTAACTGTATCTGTACGTTGTCGTATGAGAAAAGGTAGAAAAGCGCTACACGCTAGATGCTGAAGGTAAGAACGTACCAACACAAAGAGTAAGAAAACCTTGCATCATTCGGTTTGTGTGAAACCAACAAAGAAAACAGCACACTCTGTGCTGCAAACAAACAAAGAAACAACGTATTCTGTTCACGTTTCGATATGAAATACATAGAACATTCGCGGCTCACTTATCACTCCAAAGAAAAAAAACGAATAACAAGATTACACCTATATTCAAAACATTTTGCTTTTGAAACGTAGACTTATGGTGGAATAGTATATGTCCAGTTGTAATCCACTCATTCAGCAAAACTTTGTCATAATCATTCAATAAAGCAATCCTTAACGTGTTATATAATGGGCATCTCATAAAAAATGATTCAGTCTCGTCTGAATAACCGAAGAATTCCTTCGGAACTGTCCCACACTTTACATGAAGGTTTGCCGCAAAAATTGCGACGTATCGCATCTGAAGAGCATTTAATTCGGAGTGAGAATACGTCATTTAAAACATTTTAAAACATCGGCATGGGGTTCTGGGAACGTCGGACATTTGGGGATTTTAAAGGTTCCAAGGTTCTTAATGAGACATAATTGTAGCCCGCAAATTTCTGATTAAAATGAGACATCTTCCAGCTCTACACGACCTTTCTTTGCAAAGTTATAGAATTTACAAGAAGAGCCCTAAATTAATTTCTTCTGAT